GGGCACAGTTGTTGATTTCTACTAACTAGAACCTACTTTTCGGTCAGTGGACCACAGTAGAGACCGTCTGACCTTAGGGATTTGATTGTCTCTCCGGAATGGCTGTGTTAATGAACCAAACTAACATCACCCCTGTAGGACTTACCTCTTTTGTTGTTTTAGGGGAGACTTTCTTCTAAACAAACTTGGCGAATTAATCGACACATATCTCTTCTTCTGCCCCGATGTATCCGCTTTTGTTGGATGCGCAAAGATAAATAAAATAAAATAAAAACCTTTAAAATGACTTTTAATTCGTTTATTCTGTTAATTTAAATGCCAAAAAAAAATTCCTTCGGACACGCAGAAATAGGTCCTATTCATTTAAAGTGGAAAATTGCTTGTAGGATATTTAGAAACTGGATAATCTCTTAAAAACAGAAAAAAATTTCGCCACTTATCAATATCTTATGCCTTTTTTTTTTGCCAATTTAAATCAAAGTAAGGGTAACTTTCGTAAGTATAAAGGCGCTTTAACTCAAATTAAAGAACTAAAATATATAAATTAAAACGATTTAAACGCGTTAAACTTTTTAAAATTGATATTATTTTATTACAGAAGTCGAAATTAAGCTGCAGAAATCAGCTTTAGAAGCCCATGAAGATGAAGAAGAAAAGTACGTGAGCATCTTATAATTTCACGCTCTAAACTAGCCAGAAACTGTAGAAAGTGGATCAAACTTTAAAAAAAATAATAATAAATCCCATAAATAAGCTTATCAATCCAGAATAATCCACGATCTTCATCATAATTCTAGATTTTTAAACACCCGTTTGGGATGGAGAAACTTCGAAGAGCCAATAATTTCGCCTACGTTTCTTGATAACAAATAAAAATAATAGAAAATCCCGATTATCGATTTGAAATTTTTAATAAATATTCTATTATCCATTCGATGACAGATGTCAAAGTGAAGGAAAAAATAAAAAAAAAAAGGAAAAATAGTTGAAGAAAGAATATTGTTTTCACTGCAAATCCCTAACGACATGGTCCCACGAGGGATGGTTTCACAGTCGACTTTGACAACCTTTCTTCCGTACAGACAGCTTCGGGGTTCTCCACTGCTGCCAGTTAAACAAATACGCTCTATAATAATATTCATTCGTACAGGGACCTTTACAGCCACGGGCCATAAATTAGGCAACCACATTCACTCTACGGGTGTAATCAGTCTACTGTGAATGCTGATTGTTCTTCACTGCCAACATTTGCACATTCATTTACATAAACACGTTTTCCCAACTTTAGCCGTTCTCGTGACGTCATGCATACGAAACCTAGTGACGTCTTCATCCCAAATTCAAAAAAGTGAAGAATTGTCTACTGATATTTATATATGTGTGTGCGCGCGCGTGCTTTTTTAAGTTCCCGTATTAAATTATTAAATAAAGTCTAGCTATAAATATGCATTAATTAATAGATTTTTTAAATTATTAAATAAATTTTCGTGTAGTTTGAGTCCTTTCCGGTAATTCGGGTAGAAATTATAAAATTTTGCATTGCTTTTTGTAGAAATTTTCCTAATCGGACGTGATTAATTTGATGAAATTTTAATGCTCTTATGCAAAGGATGAGAAGGTTAGAAATGGATTTTTATAATAAATTTAAATGGATTGCGAGTTTAAATTAGGGAAATTGATAAGGATATCGGAGAGAAAATAGGGTATAAGGTGTTGTGTGTTTTAAGATAGTAGTTATGCAAAGTGTGGATTTTTTTATGTGCATATTTTCTAGGTTTCTGCGGGTTTTTATATGGATTTTTTCATGATTTGCATAAAAGGTTTTATCTAAGACGGTTTCTACAGGTTTCTGTGCATGAAAAATACCACAAAAACCTAAAAATTTCCTACAATAACATACATATCTCTTATCACAGATATAATAATAGTTAATTTAATTCTCTGATCTTTAACCACTATATTCTTAAATATCTAAACATTAAAACAGAAAATTGCTTTATTAATTCATAAAGTCAAACAGATATATTAACAGTGAGCAGTAAGCAATTAATCCTAAAGAATAATAATTGACGCTCAAATTTAGAAAAACACGAGGTTAAAATTATAGAAAATAAATATTTTTTCCCCCATTCAAACTTTAATAACGTAAATGTGCAGTGCAGCAATTGAAAGCCATCGACTTGCATGGGAGGATTAATCCAGGATAAGCAGGAATAATCGAGTTTTATTGCTTAATCCCCTCGGCACGATAGGAAAATGGATGGAGTGTCGTCTTAATATATGCAGCGGTGTAGCGGAATTTATTTCTAATTATCCCGTTTGGATAATACCATCTTTCGTCGCCAGGTGTTGTTTGTCCTACAGAATCGTCCAGACTGTTTAGAACTTGAAGATAAATGTTGTAATCGGGGTAATTATTTTACTGTTGGGTGACAGACCTCTTTAGGATCCTGTATCTGGACGGTCAATATGTCTACTGTTTTTATCTTTCGTCCTTCTCTTATTAATAAATATGCAAACTAGACGTTAGACAAACTCGGAGATTAATAATGCTCAACGTCCAATAGATTTACTTAAAATTAATCGAGTGGCGTATAAAATTATTCAAAAGTTTCCTTAAAGGAAATTATCTACTTTTACCTCTTGTAAAGTAGAAAAAATATATTATATACCGTATATAAGAAAAATTAAATGCGATATAAATAGAGGTAGAAAAAGTAGAATAAGCTGTTTTTCAAGCTAATCAAATTTTACCTTATCACGTGGTAGCAGCTTGTATTCAATTTTTGTTTTCTTTTTCGCCTGCATTTTTTGTGGCAACGATTTTAATTTAGTTTCTTTTCTTCGGACGGAATCTTTAAAGAGTGTTGTAAATTTTGGTGTGTGGATTGTCACGGGAATATTTTAATTTTTCTAGACGGATGCGGGTTTATTTATGACTGCGGTCTTACAATTACGAGAGAATTAAACTAAACCGGATGTGATTGAACGGTGGATAGTTGTAAAGTGACAGCTGGCGTTTACTCGCTCTTTGTTTCTGTTAAATGTTAAATTAACCAAAATAAACGAATACCGATATTGCCGAATAAGCTTCTATATTGGGTTTTACCTTTTATTGAAATGGGCTGTTTCTCTCCGATTGATGTCTTCACAATTGTGAGACCGTAATCTCCGCAACCTTACACAAAATTTCCCATAGGCGACTTTTCCTCGACTACCGCTTATATTTACATTGCTTTTGGGCCCACTCAGGTAACCTATATGGTTTTATTCCTCCGCATCTTTATCCCAAGTGGTGCATTCCGCATCCGACTAGGCTGAGAGGTAAATTTATTTTCTTGTTTTCTACCTGAGAAAATTATCGAAAGCTTCCTAAGTGTTTATCGCCGAAAATTGATATCTTATGATTTACGAGAGAGTGCGAAGAAATTAAATTTTTCTCCATCTCTAGGAAGAAATGAAGCCGAGACAGAGATGTCAATTTACTAGGGATCGTACGGTAGAATATTTTCTTAAACTTTTCTTTATTGATAAGACGGCAACAAGTTCATGCAACTAATTCGACAGAGTCTCTTTTCATATTGATGCTATTCGTTGAGAATGATTAGATTCGCCGAGTGCTTCTCTCACAATGTCATGAATTTTACATCAACTCTCCACCCTCCCTTTTCTCTTACACACTCCATCAGATCGGTTAGGACCATTAAGTGATTTTACTGACTTTGTGTGTGAGAAATTTTAAATTATCCATTTGTCATTCACACACCATTTCTTTGCACCAGATTATTTATTTCCCGTACAGAATTAGAAGAAATCTTTAACAATTATATACAGTTTATTTCATCCGTTCTCTATTATCTTGGCATTACTTCCAATTGAACAGTTACCGAGTTCAACCGGGAGGAGGAAAACCTCTTCTTCGATGCTTCAAATATCTTTAAAATCTTGTCAATCTCAGTTTTAAAAAGCCAAGAAAACGTAACCCCCTGCCAATGGCCTTTCCCTTTAAGTAAGAGAGTCGAGCAGAGAAGTATCATTGTCGGGGGCTACTCGTTAAGCCATTTCATTACGGATACGTTCCGTTTTAAAGAGTGAAGCCAATGTAATTTTAACCACCACCCACGGCACTGTAAAGTATAAATTCCGTAAAATAGACAAAGTGTCTACTGTTGTATATCCAGAATTCGAATTAATGGTAATTACGACCGCAAAAATCCTGTATGTAAATCACGCTCTTGTCTCTGAAATCACCCACAGGAGAGTAGTAGAGAATAGTCCATAATTGGCTGCGAGATAAGGAAATTGGTGCGATTAATCTAAGGTATCGTTTGTGAGGTCACACTTGCTTGTAATTTACCTGCAACCGGTTGGAAAAGTAACAGATAAAAATCTGTCATTCTCAAGAGAGAGTCAGAAATCTTATTAAACTAAACCTTCTTTTTCCTAATTATAATTTAATAAGTAAAATATTCTTATCGATTTACAAAATTGCAAGCGGAATTTTAATATCATTCTTCGTCATTACACTATATTATATTGTTTGATAATGTTTTGCAAGGATCAAACCAAGCACAGTACTATAACAGTTAATGTAACAGATTTTATTTTACTTTTAAAATATAGAAATAAATATATTTTAAAAGATCTTATTTCAGATCATTTTTGGCATCAAATAATAAAATTCTCTTTTGAAAATTCGTAAAATTTAATAAAATACAAGTCGAAGGAGAACCCGTCATAGGTAATAGTAAAGATGTTACCAGAACTTAAAGACTAGAATAGTAATAAGGAAAACGGTAGATGCAGTGATAAAGATAACAACTGATAATAAAAAGCAATAGCATTTCAATTTCTTATTATATAAAATTAGGCAATTTCTAATTACAAGATTATATTGCACAGTATCGCTTTCAGCAGTTACTACAAGCACAGACATACTACTCTACACTTTCAGCGACGTAATATCTATATTTAAAAGAACGTAATGATTAGATAAAAAAAAAATACATAAATAAACTTAATAATTACTTTATTTAGGCAATAACTAATACAATCTTTGGTTGGTAACCTTAAGAATTTATCACCTTTCTTTTTCCTGATAATGGAAAGATTTATCATCCAATATTCAAGTGCTGTACATCATCAGATTCAAAATTCTTTCTTTTCATTTATTTACCTTTTAGTTTATTATATATATAAATATATAACTTATATATATATATATAGGTTTACATGCGTACAATACTTTTATATAAATATACTTATAGTCCAACCCACTATCAAATTTACATAGGTTTAAAATGATATATGCATAGGGAAAGATATACAAAATCACATTTAACTGGAAAAATAAGTGGATAATTTATATACTTTGGACTTTAAAGGATTCTTCAGGTCTTCAATAATCGATTCATTAGCTAATGTGCTGACATCCCCTAAATTTCCATCATTCGTAGCGATTTTTCTCAAAATTCTCCTCATGATCTTCCCTGATCTCGTCTTGGGTAATTCGTCAGTGAAGTGAAAGTATTCTGGAGTAGCAAATGACCCTATTTTCTCTCTTACTGTAAAATATTTATTAAAATTATTTATATAAATTAATACAAGACACATTAAGCAAGCGAATTACTTAGAAAGATGCCATTACCTTTCTGCTTTAGTTCTTTTATTAAGTCTTCATTGATTGCTAATTTCTGCAAAAGGAAAATTACGTTACGCCATCTCTTGAGAAATTATAGAAATAAATTTAAATATATATATATTTTAAAGTTAGAAATTAAAGTATTAAAAATTAATTTAACTATAATTTTATTAATTTTTATACTTTTTTTACTCAATATAAAAATATAAAAATATCAAAAATAAAAAATTATTTTATAACAATTAATAATATATCAAAAGTTTCAATAAAATGTTAACAGATAACATCATCACAGTATTAAATCTTTGCCGGGAAAGTTACGCAACTCGTTGCGAGATTTTTTGTCATTGNTTTAATATAAAAGTTTTTAAAAGTTTTATATTAAATCTAGATTCTTAATTATATGAAAATTTATTTATGAGAAAGAAACTTTAAAAAAATTAAATGAATTAAATATTCTTTAATATTTTTAAGTAAATTATAATTAAGAACATATTCTAACAAATAAATAAAGTAAAAATTTAAATTAAAAAATAATTAATAAACATTAAGGAAAATTACATATACTGTACATATACATATATAAATATATATTCTGTCGGTATTATTTATTTTATTAAATAATTTTTAATTTAAAAAAATATATTTTTATTACATTTTTAATTCATTTTTTTCTCCTCAAAATTTTCATTAATAGAAGAAATTAAATTTAATTTTAAAAAAGTTTATGTGAATTTCACGACAGATGGCACCACTCATTAAAAAGTCACTACGACCGAGCCACCATCTGACGGTAAGAAATCAAACTACTCACATCTTTAACGACTATAAAGCAATATAAGCATTCGCCTTTAATGGGATGAGGGCAGGCGACTGCGGCCGTTTCCACGACATTTTTATGTTCAATCAAAACAGATTCTAGCTCAGACGTTGATAGCAAATGACCAGACACGTTCAACATGTCGTCAGTTCTTCCTATGATCCAGTAATATCCGTCGGAATCGCGTACCGCTCCTTGAAAAAAATAGAATAAAAAAATGAATTAATTAACTTATAAATGTTATATAATTAGAATTACAGTAAAATAAATTATTTATACCGTCTCCCGTGAAGTAGTAACCAGGAAATTTCGTAAAATAAGTAAGCTCGTAACGCTCTTGATTTTCATAAATAGTTCTAAACATGGAAGGCCACGGCTGACGAAACACCTAATTTAATTCCAAATTTCTTAATGATTAATGGGCATGACCCTTATTTAAATAAAAGATGCAAGAAACTTACCAAATTCCCTCTTCCTGCTCCTTCAATCTCTTTTCCATCCTCATCTACCAGCGCAGGAACCACGCCAAAAAACGGAAAAGTCTGCAAGTAGATTAACATTTACGTTAACAAAAACCTTATTATAGTTAACGTTATGCTCTACAAATAACAACGATTGTATTTAAATTAAGCTTTATATTGTGGTGCATCAACCGTAACTCTCATCCGTTCTTTTACTACAGCCGAAGCATTTAAGTATGACAAATTGGTGACATCTTAACCAACAAGCTCAATTGTAGGCTATGTATAGAGTCGTGCACTCAGAAATATATATATTTTTTTTCTATATATGGAGAGGCTTTAAAGGAGAAGCCATTAATTATGCTAAAAAATTGCTTTTTTTTCCTTTCCTATTTCTGTTTTTATACTAATAATATCAAATTACTCGAACTTTTATGTACAAAATTAGTATCGTTTATTGTAATTTGCCTTCATGTATGACGCTCATTGGGGGGGTCATCGAAAACCTGGTATGGTGCTCGAGACAAAGAGAGTCTTTTGTCGTTATTTAAGGCCCCGTAATGGTCTGTGAAGACCATTTAGGAGTCCTAAATCAAGAAAGATTGAAAAATCCTCTGCTCGATGGCCCCTCATTGCACTTATATTATTGAAATTCTGCATAATTCTCTTTGTTCACTGTAAAGAAAATCGAAGTTCACACAGAAAATTATACTTTGTCCCAGTATTTTGGATTATTAAGTATAAATCTGAGTATTTTAAATTGGAATCTGATCTATAATCTTATAATGTATGGAGTCTTTGTTATCCGTCCTCATCCACACTCATCTCATTGAGACTAAGACTATGTCTTAATAGGCAAAAACTGTAACCAGCTCCATTAATGGGTCAATTAATCATTATGAAAAAATATAAGTTAATAAAATTTATTACTAAATGATAAATCGAGTTATAAGAAGTAAATTATAGTTCTTGTGCAACAAACCGAGAAAGATTCCATAACTTATCATAGAAAATAATTCATTCTAATTATTATTTTCACTTCCTTCTACTATATTTTTATAAGAAATAACTCATTTTTTCCTAAGAATTTTAGAAAAATCCAATTTTTTCACTCCTTTTGAAGGCAGTTTTCTGTAACGATAAACGCTTAACACGCTAAATTGTTCTAATTTCAAATGTAAAATGCTGTTTAAATGAATTTAAATTGTATATAAATCATATCCAACTTATTTACTTAGCTTTCTATAGGCCTATTAATTATACACCAATAGGAAACATCGTAAATGATTCATTTCGAACAAGGAAATGAACACGACATGGCTCTGTCATCAACATTAATCAATTTTTATAGCATTGACTATAATTAATATATGTAAACTAATATTTAATCAGAGAAAATATTATAAAATTGTATAATACATAAATTAGAATCAAGAGAAAATTCAGTTAAAAATGCTCAAAGATGGAGTATTTAGAGATGCAGAAACAACATTTACAGGCCCCATGATCCGTAATTAAATTATATTTATTAAAAAAATCTTAATGATAATTAGTCAAAAATCTAATAATTAAATTAAAATAGTTCGTGAGATACGCTGTTATGGCCTTAAAGATTGTAGGATTAATAGGATAAGGCAACACAATATACGGAGGATATGCAGAAAACCAAACACGTATTGTTATTTACTAATAATTTTAAATATTTCTGAATATTTAATGTAATTCTACGGAAAAAAAGGGCAATTTCATGGGGCCCCCACCAACAGAGGGTCTCGAACTAATCTTTTATAAGAAAATATTTTCCCAAAAAATCCCCCGAAGTCAGCAATGTACAGTACATGGGTTCCCATAATTCAAATTTGCCTAGGTCCCATGAAGCTATAACGCACTGCTGATGTAGGCCTATAAATTTCGTACATAATGCCCTTAAATGTGCCCTAATGGGTGGTCCGTAATGAATATATTTCAATGTTTTATATTCTAACTATTTATAACTTAAAATTTCTCAGGTTGTAAGATAATAAATATATACTGTATATACAAATAAATGCAGAGTTTCTATAACAACATACATTAAACATATTACTATAAAATATAAGATATAAAGATGAAATCTACGTCAAAATTGTTCATATATCAGCACTACACGAAAATTATTTCACTTTTAATGGCGAGATTAAGAATTAAAATTTCATAAATAATTAAAGAACGAAAAATTGTACGAAAAGAATTTTAAGAAGCAAAAACATAAATAAAAAATCAAAATAAAGAATTAATTAATTTAAAAAAAATGCCCATAAATGTTAAGTTTAAATTTAGGTATAAAATAGATTAGACTTTATTATGCTTTTTTATTACTTATAATGTTAAATTTCTTAATTAGTTCCTTTATATTTTTTATTCTTTATTGCAGTAAAGTCCAGAAAACTAGCAATTATTATTAGTCCTAATTAAAAAGTAGATATCCAATTAAAATTCAAACAGAAATTTCGAAAAAAAACAGTAAAATTGTAAAGGAAAATGTACAAAACTATATAAGCTGTAGATTATTTAATGAGTGCAACAGCATTCTAAAGACTCAATTAGCCCTCTAAAGCTCATTAAAGAGTATAAAGACAATGAGCACTTTAAAGCTAATTAAAGATAAGTGTGATCCACCTTAGTTGTCAAAGATGGTCACGTGTTATAGCTCGAATGGAGTCGGACTTAATGAAGATTTTACTCGTTGTTAGCGTTTAGTTTTTTTAAACTCATCTGTACCCTCAAAATTAAACGTTTTGTCATTTTATAATAATTAAAAGTATAGAAAGATTTTATAACAAAATTTCAGAACAGATAGTTCCACACACAATTTTGTTTATTTATCATGATTAATAATATAAAAGTTATTTTTAAATAAGATCTCATAACAGCCCGGAAAGTTACGCAACTCGTTGCTAGATTTTTATAAATAAGTTCAAGTAAGAAGCGGAGAAAAGGAGAATTTATCTCATACACTTTATGTATATGAGGCAAGTTCTCTTTTATCTTATATATATATATATATATATATATAAGATAAAAGACACGTGAAGAATTTCAGACACGTGAAGAAAACGTGTATTTTTCCAGGTTTCCCTGTCTGACACTTGACTAGAGGCCAGTTTCCCATAGAAAGTCCTCCTACAAACATCCCCTTGGCAGTTTTTTATGGAAAGTCCTCCCTGGAAGTACCCTCTGGCCCAAGTATTGCGTTGCTTTATCTCAGTGGTTCCCAAGTCGGCGCTACCGACCCTTGGTTGCAGTGATTAAATCTAGGGGCAAAAAAAAGCAAGGGGGAGCTGGTGGTAGGGTCCTGACTAACAGGGACCATATGCGAGGGTTACGGTCGCTGACAATCTTTTCCTTTCTTCCGTTAAAAATGGATACGAAGAAATATTGCCTTTAATGGTTTCCAGATGCTGACAACAATGTACAGTACTGTATGGTAAGGACAAGTATAAGATTCGTAGGAAAAATTTTCTAAGAATATTTCCAAGTCTTTCTCACACAATGGAAGACGAGTTGGGGGAACGAATACGGTATAAGTTTATGGCGACGGCTCGAAAAAGCCTGGGAATCACTGCTTTATCCCATTAATCCAATCCATTAATCAAAACAGATTTCATTCATAATTTTTGAACTGATGTTCACGTTTATTTATTTATTGTTATTATTTAATGTTTGGCTCTTCTCGTCCTGCCAGCAGTAAGAGGACCTCTATTCCATATTCATCATGGATTCGGCCAGGCCCAACAGGAAGGGCCCGACATAGAGTGTCCACGAAAACTCCCAGGAATTGCTCTCCCGAATTCGATTTTGGCTCCTCCATAGCAGTAGGTTTGAGTCTTAATCTGTTTATTTGTTTTATTCCCAAACTATAGAAACACTCCTTTACAGAATTATAATATGAATTATTGAAAATGACTCGGGAGAAATACAAAAATTCGGCGTCTTTTCTGTATCTATGAATGTTAGTGTGAGACACGACTTTGTTCACCCTGTTTGAGGATTAATAACTCCTGTGCTTTTTCTCAAAAATTTCTGAAATTTTGGAAAGAATTTTGTTTATTAGGGGGATTGATGCTATTAAATTTTGGTGGTTAAAGGTCGAGGGATGAAGAAATAAAGGGGGTCGTGTGGTGTATCTCCAGCAGAGTCGGACTTAATGACGATTTAACATGTTATTAGCATTTACAATTTTTTTTATAAAACCCATTCCTACCCTCGAAATTAAACTTTTTGCCATTTTATAACAGTTAAAAATATAAAAAGTTTTTAAAACAAAATGTCATAACAGATGGCACCACCGAATATTGCCTGGGAAAGTTAAGCAACTCGTTACTGGAGTTTTTTGAACTGGTAATTCTACTTCATTCTGGTTTTCTAGACAGAATCCGGAACCGAATCTTCCTATTTAAATGTATTTCTACTGAATATATGTCTATAATTTTGCACAAATTAGCAAAATTAAAATTTAATAAATCCAAGTTTTATGGTATTTTCGACAGTAGAACTATCCTTGATTGAAGTTGTAGAACTCGGTTCTGTAGAAATTAGAGTTCTCTTCTTTAATTATTTATACTATTTCGACTAATAAATTTACTATACTATATTGTATCATAAAACACTACTTTAAGTATTAATAGATAATTTATAAGTCTCGTATCACTAAGTTCTAACAGAATTGAGGATTAGGAAAGGAATGTAGACTATATATTAGGCTTATGTATACAATAGCTTGTGTATATACTGTATCATGGTCTAATCTAACTTCATCATGTTTTATTTAATAAATAAAAGATATAATTAAGCTATTTTGTATCAATATTCTACTAAATTCTTTGCAAGATTTCAGTTTTCTTGCAGCCATTTTGTAGTTTACTCGAATATTTTCGTAATCGCTTAGTTTACTTGTATCAATATTTTTCTTTATGATAAAGCTAAATATATATATAATTTCACAATTTTATTATATGTACATTAATTATAATTTTCCTTGTATGAGGAAATTTTCATGTAGATAGGCTTATATACACGCATTAAGTTAAGTATAATAAAAAAAACGATAAAAGTAAATATTTTTTTGGAAAGAAAATGAAAATTTGCAAATCTATACAGAGTTTTCCTCTTAATAAACTAAATATTTCAAAATTTATTACCCAATTAAACGTGATTAATTTAAAAATACTTAATTTTTCCTCTTTACACTTCCTTTAACAAACAAAATAGACATGTGAGGTACTTACAGAGGAACCGGGCTTCATAGGAGTACATCCAGGTAGGGAAGTTAGCACGTGAGATCCCTGAAAAAAACCACAAAAATGCTTTGTTCAAGTGAATTTATTCTCTAAATAAATCGATTCCACAAAATATAAATGCGCTAAAATGTGTTTTAACAAATAAAATAATAGGAAAATTATTAATTAAGTGCGTTAATAAGGAGGAAATAAAGTGAAATCATATATTTTTAACCCTTTTCCTGGAATAATTACTCAATTTATTGATATAAATTTTACGTAGAAGAATTCGGATACGAAACACTCAATTTTCTATAACTAAAACCTATTATTAAGAAAAAATACGATTGTCATATGACATATGACAGCGTAAACACGTATTATTTTTATATAATTATATATAACGATGTCACGCTATGATATATTTGACGTTATAATAGACGTGGCAATGTAGAACTCGGATGTCTATCAATCATACGAGGTGAACGATTGATAAAAGTGTTCTTTTTTAGATAAAAATAATGGAGGCCAATGATACTAAATTTGAAGATAAACACTTACACTTTCAGTTTGCCAGAATGTGTCGACGATGGAACAATTTCCATTGCCAACAACGTGATAATACCACAACCAAACTTCAGGATTTAGGGGTTCTCCGACGCTACCCAAGACGTGTAAAGATTCTCTATTGTATCTATTTATCAGAATTAATCTTTATTATATATAAAATTATAAAATCAAATACACTAAATAACGAATTAAAGCGTTACTTCTTCACGTAAGTGTCACTATACTTCATCAGAGTTCTCAGAACAGTCGGAGCGGTGTAGAACTGACATACGCTATACTTATCGACGATCTTCCAGTATCTACCAGGATCTGGATGACAAGGTACTCCTTCGTACTAAAGAAAAAAAATAAGTCCATAAAAAAATATAATAATTAACACCGGTAAATTAATGTAAAAAATTCATGGTCGAGATACACACAATAATAGATGAAGCACCGTTGAGCAAAGCACCATAAACTGTATACGTGTGACCAGTCAGCCATCCTATATCTGCAGTGCAAAAGAATACATCGCCTGGATGAAAGTCGAACACGTATTTAAAACTTAAAGCCGCTTGAATCATGTAACCTCCTATTGTATGAGCGATTCCTTTTGGTTTTCCGGTGGAACCACTGAATATAATCGTAAGCAATTATGTAAACAGAACGAGATTATGATAACAAACAAAGAAACAATGTTTAATTACTCTTCACCTAGTGTATAGCAGAAATAACAAATCTTCTGCATCCATCCATTCGGGTTCACAGGAAGAGGAAACTTTGGACATTTCTAAATGCCACCACGCGTCTATATCTGGATCCCACGGTGTCTGAAGCGTACAAGTTTAAATTTAAGTTGTTTTTAAATCGCAAATAAATCAATTCTTCTTCGTATCTTACCATTAGATCTACGACGGGTCGTTTTCCTAATTGTCTCGTCGAATCTCTCATTAAATAATTGCTCGAATCTCCGTTACGTTTAGGAATTCCGATACTTAACACTACTATTGTAGCAGTTAGCCTGTGTCCACTGAACGACAAAATAGATTTAAATATAATTATAATTCTCGAAATTCCTGGGGTTACCTCCATATAAACTAACCTCTGTAAGCACTTTTGGACTGCAGAATTCGCAATTTCTTTCAAATTAATTAACTTCGTTCCTCTCCAGACACCATCTAAATTAAAAAAAAACATAAACAATTGACAAATTTCTAAAATAATATCAAATTAAAACAGAAATCTTTATATAATTACCCGCAGTTATAAGCACTGGGCACCTAGCATCTAAGATCCTACCAGCCAACGCTTCGGCGGAATAACCTCCAAACTAGGAACCACAAAATGTTACTTATGCTTAAAATACATATATATATAATTATTTATATTTTTTGAATGCTTACAACAATGGCATGTACTGCCCCAATCCTCGCACAAGCCAACATAGCAATAATAAGTTCGAGTATCATAGGCATGTATATGGCGACGCAATCACCTTTCTTCACCCCTGTAATACACAAAACAATTTCGAAAAAAATCGTAACTATCAATTAGTTTTTACTATAGTATAACATATTTTCGCCCGGGGTATGAGCGGGAGTTTACAGAAACAGGTTACGTGCTACACGTCGAATGTATTGACCTTTCGGATTTCGGCTAACCTTGAAATTGTAGGATTTTTAGAAGGTCAGTGAATCGTATAGGAGGGTGTCACTGACTGTATCTTACGTCCAACTTCTATTCTTCTCGATATGAGTGAGAACACCACTAGGTTTTTCGAGCGTTGAAAATTTTACGATCTTTTCTTCCTTCACTACACTTTTTTTTCCACCTGAAAACTTGAATTCTGATAAAAATCTCCTAATAAAATTCATCTTCCAGAACTAATTTATCATTTGAGTATCTTTCCCTCGTTATAACGTTCTCCTATATCCATTTTAAACTTTTCGTTGAATGTATTTAAGTATTAATCTCGATAAGCTTAATGCTTAAATATATTCAAGCTTGATAAGCATTTACTATTATAAATTGTTATCGGTGGATCGCGTGATTGCTTCCTTAATTTAATATGCAACTTTTTCTCAAAATTTTATTTTACGTTCCTGAATTTAAATTCAATTTAAACGTATACAAACGCATTAAAAGATTTCAGAAACTCTTTTATAAACTATAATAGACGTCTTTCCTCCCTTCGGGTCCCTCTCTTATCGTACCCATTGTCAGTGGAGCGTAATAGCTTCGTGGGGCCCAGGCAAATTTTAATTAGTGGGCCCGGCGTACAGACATTTTTCTTCGGAGGAATTTTTCGGGGAAATAATTTCTTATATAAAAGATTGATCTGGGTCCCCTGTCGGTGAGGGCCTCGGACAATTGCCCTTTTTGCATATAGGATAACGCGCTAATTGCTCATCGTGAGTTGGACCAGGCTCACAAAGGAAAGCGACCGGGTGGTAAGGTACGGGCCCGATTTATTCTGAACAGAGCCCGCACGAAAAATGCTTAGGATTGCTGGTCCGGATTCGAATCCGAATCCCCAGAGAGGTAGACTGGTGGCTTAACCACCTCATCCATCTGCGCGTCCAATACGGTATAATGAAATGCTGTAAATTTTGGTTACAGACAGAGTAACGAAGAATACCCCGAATTTAAGAAGCACCTCGAAGTTACGTTCAGAAACATGTGACAGATATAAATCTTAAACTAGGAGTAATATAAAATATATAAGCCTATATATATAATAAAGTAAATGCAGCAAATCATTATGTATACAGTATCGTTTCGGTGTATACGATATATAGAGCCTATATTTTATATATATATAGGCTATATATGTATATACAGCGCGTAACACATTAGTACAATGTTAATTTATCAAATTTAAATCATATTTTCACTTATTAAATGGATTTTTTTTCTAATCTTGAATATCAAATGTTTATTTAAATATTTACAAGGCGATTTCACTCTATATATTTTTAGTATTTACTTAAATATTAATGCAAATATTTATATAAATAACTTTCCTTTCCTAATTAATGCCACGTTTAAATCATTTTAAAATTAAATTTTATGTGTTTATAAACGATTTGCCGTATGTAGAGCCTCTGCATAATCGATCTGTAATATTTTTAGTAGGAAAGATTTATGCTTAAATATTAATTTTAAGGCATTTCCGAGGTAATTTTTAAAAAATAAATTCAAGTTTATAACTTAATTAACAGATCCTGTAGGAAGTTTTTTCATTTACTAAAAGGATAAATTAATTTGCTTACCTTTATTTTTCAAAACGTTGGAAAATTTGCAAACTTTCTGCAATAATTGCTTGTATGTGATATTGGAAGATTCTTCAGGATCATTTCCTTCCCTGTAAACGATAAAAGGCGACTTTAATTATGTCGAAATTGCGAAATTTCAATAAGATTTCTGGTTACTAACCAGTAAAATGCGACAGAATCTCCTAAACCTCTTTCTATATTCCTCTCGAGTAAATTGTAAGTGATGTTAGTGACGGCACCCTTCAACCAACTGATGTGTATGGGTCCTTTCCTCAAGTCGAAATTATAACTCCAAAATTCTCCTTTGGGACCGGACTTCCAATAGAATTCCGTCATGACCTCACCCCAAAACATTTCCGGTTCCTCGATCGACTTCCTGTACATCTGCCAGAATTTCTGCATATTTGAAAGATGGGTATTCTGAAGAGTTGGATAATAGACTTCATTCTGGTGGCAAATTTCGTCGATGGTCAAGACGGGATCCGTATCGCGCTTCATCTCGAAGAAAGTAAACTCTCGTCACTCACGCGTCACGTTAAATACCCCCTGTAATCGTTAACGTGATTGGTGGAGAGGCGATTGTAGCCATTTAGGGAAATAGCTGACTTGTGTTCTGCTTCAAAATTTTAATCTTCTCGCTTGATGGACATTTTTCTTTTTGCCCGTCCACCCGATTCGCTAGTTTTTAGTCCTTCTTCTGTCGCGTGATCTATGTAAGGGTTTAATTTTGTAGCCAATAGTTACAGTCGATAGAAATGTCGGTGAAATTCGTTTAATTGCTCACGGAGCAATATTAAAAAATTAATAATTATATAATTATAGGGAAGTATAACGTGTAATTTACTATTTCAAACGTATTTTTTAGATATTTATTTTATCGCTGGTATAGAAACAAGCGTTTAGAGTTAAAAATAGATAAATTGCCAAAATTTCACATGTTTTCTTGTTATTTATTTCTTCAAGCAACATTTCACGTAACATATAAATAAATAAAAAAATAACATTTGCGGTTGGTTAATCACGTTATTTAAATTTTTTTTCTGAATTTAAAATTATATAATACTAAAATAATTCTATAAATTATCATATTTCCGAGTAAATTATTTATGAAAAACAATTTAAAATTAATTTTAACTCTCAATTTCAATTATAATTTAAGGCATTTAAAATATATTTTATAAATTAATTCTGTTAAAAAGTACGTCATTTAGGAAGTTTATCGTCATTACAACAATGGAATTCATATATAAATTATTAATTCTGACAATAAATAAATGAAAAACTGAGAACTAGAAGTGGAGAAGTGATAAAAATTTCAATGCCAATTATCTATCTGTCGTCAGGTTCATAATGCCTAAGCATCTTCCCTTGCCCAAACTTTTCTCCTCCATTCTATTCTGTCTCGACACTCCTCCTCTGTCAGTCTCCTGTGATCCAAAGCTTTTTGTATCTCCTCTATCCACGTAGTCCCCGGTCTTCCTCTCCTCTTTCTGCCCGCAGGGATCCATTCTAATATCTGTTTTGCCGGTCTACCCTCTTCCATTCTCCGAACATGGCCATATCCAGGTAATTGTTTGTTATGAATATAGTCGACTATAAAATTTTGATATTCCAATTTTTTCCTAATGTCCTCATTTCTTACTCTATCTAATTTTGAACATCGAGCAGATCTTCTCAAAAAGTCCATTTCTGTGGATTTTAATTTGGATTTAAATTTTGAATTCAATACTCACACTTCTGCTCCATAAGTTATCACGCTTAGAACTAATGATTTATACATGTTTATTTTTCTTGTTTTAAAGATTTGTTTATCCCATAAGATGCCATTTAATAGTCTTATCATGCATCTTCCTTTCGTAATTCTGTCCCTAATTTCTATTTTCCATCCGACCATCATTAGTAATTTTTGTTCCAAAATATTTAAATTCATCACATCCTTTAATCACCTCAGGTTTTCCATTTTCCTCCAAAACTAAATCACGTATGTCTTCAGTTTTAATTACCGCATAATTAGTTTTCTCCATAATTATATTTAGTCCCCAATTATTGTATTCTTATTTCAGTTTTCTTGTCATATATGTTAAATCATCATAATCATCAGCTATAACTAATTGGTCATCTTCAAATAATAATGTATATACAGTACTATCTCCGACCACTAGGCCCATATCACTACATTTTCTCCTCCATATTTCCATAGCCTTTTGAATATAAATTTTAAATAATGTTGAGAAATACAGCAACCTTGGCATAAATCTTTGGTAACTAGAAATCCTTTAAATAACCTTGATAAGGTTATTTGAAGGATTTCTAGTTACCAAAGGTTATTTGAAGGATTCTGACAATAGAGATAAGCTGTAGCTTTTTAATATGATTTATTATCTTCCTATTTATTGTTATCTAAAACGTGCCAAAAATTTTTATTCGCACGCTATCGTATGCTCTTTCTAAGTCGATAAATAATAAATGTATAGTTTGATTTTTAATTTCTAACTCCTACATACACAATGGAGTCATCCAGATTGCTGCGATGCCATTACCTCAGTATAATGTAGCGAAGGATTTTAAGATTTGAGAACAGAACACGTGAAGAAGTTGGTTACGAAGTATATCAGCTTATTCATTAACAAATATAGTTACATAAGGAAATATTGATAAAAACAAAAGAAATTGTTAACTTTTCTTATATCGATTTTTCGAATAAACAAAAATTACAGAACTCGTGTTCAAATATGCAAATGTCAGACCTTTCTCTATGTTCATAATGCTGTTCTTTTCCAAATAAGTTACGTGTGTTTGGGGATGTGTAGATGTCTATTTCATTTAATATCTCAGGATGGGCTAAAGATTAAAAAATGAAATTTGGCACGAAAGCTTATAAGGGCATCGACGCTATTAAATTTTGGAGTATGGAACTCAAAGGGGTGGACATGCGTCAAATCTCAAATGGGATCGGACTTAATGAAAATTTTACTCGTTATTGACATGTACAATATTATTAAAAACTCTACCCTCAAAATTAAGTCTTTTTTGCTTTTTTTTATGATAATTAATAATATAAAAGTTATTTTTAATATCATCTCGTAATAGATGGCCCCACACACAATTTTAACTTTCAGCTGGTTTCATATTGTTTTTTTAAATTTAAAAGTTTTATTTAAATGAAGATTTTTATCATAATTGAACAAAATTGTCCATTTTAAGCTTTCATTACCTAAATTTTATATTCTAGTATAATTGAAAATTATCGGACTCTCTTAATCTCCTGTTCGAATGCTAGGAAATTCCAGCAAGACACCTTGCCAGCTTTTTTTTTCGTAGTTATGACAAATAGTCAGAGATGCCGAATACTTAGAATACTTAGCTATCTTTATGGCTATCTATGCAGATACTTTTTGTATATGTCTTATACAAGAGATGAAAGTGTTAAAGATTCTATGGATGAGGATCGACTCCACTCTGAATTTGCGTATTTGTGGTGTGAGAAGAAAAATTTGAAATCGAAATTTTGTGTTGTGAAATTTCTTTTCATTTTATTCTTTATTCGATGTTTATAGCCGATGACAATGGCAAACAAATTAAGAGTTTTAATTACCTGAAATCGCGTTTTCTTTTATGAATATGAAAATTGAAATTGCAACATACATTTTAAAATGAAAAATTAAACATAAATTCAAGTTATATTAAGGAAAACTACTCAATGCTTGTTTATAATGTTAAAGTTTCCTCTTTACTTATATTTATTTTTTAAAATTTATTACTCGTGTTATTTTTTGTATTGTTATTATTATTATTTACCTTAATATTGCATTTCTATTTATAAGGAGTGAATTTTAGGGTACACCTTATAATTATGTTATAGAGGTATCTACCTCTACAATATAAATAAATTAATACTCATTAAACTAGTACATTAAACAATAATTATAATTTTAAGATTTTCTGAATATGTGAATAATTAAATATATCCCTTAAAATTCTAGTAATAGTTAGTATATGAAGTCATATAAGAATAATTATTTAAATTAACACGAGTGTAGAATAAAATATGAATATTGTATTGTTTATAAATGTATATTTATGTTTATTTTTATGAAATAATTTGTTTTATCATACGTTACACACTGAAATCATCAAGTGATGCTTATATATTGATGAAGATCGTACTGTAAGTAATGGTATATGAGTTATGTTGCTTAAAATATTGATAATTTTTAATTTTATTAATTTATAGTTTCTTCTACAGTAACAACTGCAGAAAAAATAGGTGATAAATGCAATTGAAATGTTATTTTTTAGCAATTTAAAGCATGTAAGTACTGTACTGTACATCTAGAGTTTTGTTTTAATTTATTCAAAAATTAAGCATTATATTTAACGAAGTACGTGTTAAGAGACAGAGAAAGTTTAAAAATAATATTCATCGAAAGGAATGGAGATTTAAATAATAAATAAAGGTTTTTGGCCAAATTGAAACAATTTAAGTTAAGAAAGCCACTTTACATCTTCAGAATATGTTTTGCAACACGTGTTTAGAGATGCTTGGTGATGGAAGTTGATACATCTTTTCCAGTATTTTTAAATAAAAAATATAACAAACTAAAAATTAATAAAATAGTTTTAATGAATAAAAGACTAAATTATGATCTTCGTTTATATACATATAAAACATAAATCAAGAGATATTTGGGAATTGGACGTAGCACTTTTCCTGATAATTTTTCTAATTTCTTTCCTGATACTCAAAAATCCTAATATTAATAATGTTTCCTGAACTCAAGAAAAACTTATTATAAATTATTTTGACCTCCTTAATTCGCTATACAAAGATAAGTAAAATATAAACATTAAGACATTTCACAATAATCTGTATATGTTTATATTCGTTGCTAATTTTATAACTTCCATAAGCGTAATATATAGTTAATAGTAAATTGCATGCTTCTAGCCCTTCTATTTACCATTATTAATTATTACGTACAATTATCCTTTTAGGACTATAACATCTTTTGGGGCTTATCATACGTGGTTCAGATATACAATATGAGGTTTAACATAAAATAATAATAATAAATTACCATTTTTTAGATATAATAATAAATCGATATAAAAATAGAATTGAAATAAAGAAATATACAAAACAATGTTTAGTCCCAAAGGAAATTAATTATTTTTCACAAGTATCCAGATACATCAAAAAGAATACATCTGTAATGTATCTTACATAGCCTAAATAAAATAATGAATAGAAAAACCAACGAAGAAAATAAATACAAGCAAAAGATGAAGTAATATATAATTACTTACTAGTAATTACCCAAAGCATATTTTAAATAGCTGGTTACAAGAAATTACAAACAATAAGAATATTCATTGTGGATTCTATTTACTAAGTACTATTTGTAAAAATCTTAAGCATATTTTTACTCGTGAATAATTTATTATTATAAATTAAACACAATCAGGCCATATTTGCTACCTATGTAATGTTATTTTTCCTCCTCATTTTTCTTCTTATTTCTTTTGTTATTGGCATAACCAAAAGCTACACAATTATATTCGTGGAGAAGGTAAACACAAAAAATTTTAAATATTCTGATTTAAGCCATTCAAAATAAGCCTTAACTAAATCGAAGAACTCCCAATTACACTGTGAAGGACTTTCGGGATTATGGCGGCGACCGGCTTCAACACGATTTTTGCAGACAGCACAGAACCTTGTTACTGGTTCTGTGCTTGCTGGACGCATTTAACTAGTGCGTCACCTACTTTTTCGTGTCAAAATTCACCGAATTAAGTAACACGTGGAGTTGTAACATTGAAATTTTCTGTTTTTGGGTCTCTAAAATAAAAGAACGTAATATGTTCTTCGCTTTAGCAGAGATTATCGGCACTCTACTAAAATCAGATTAAACATTTACATGAGCAATCTTTACCAATATATTCTACTCCCAAGTTTCCTTAAAAACCCTACTTGATAAAGATATAGACACTAAAAAGCTTTTGTTTTTCCCTACCTTCTATCATTTACTCACTAGAAAAATTCGTATATTACTAGTTGTTAAGGTTGCTAACTTTATTGTGCAAAAAAAAAGAAGGGGAGGACAATACGTCTCTATATACGATCCTGCTACTTGTATGCAGTGGCACATTTAGAAATATGGTACCTCTAAGCCCACAATATGAAGGTACTCTAACTACTTTCACATCAAAAGATTCTGTTTTCTAATTACAGTTTTATAAAGATCGAAATTGGGAACATTTCCATTTCTAATTACTTTAAACTGTAAAATAGATGCAAGAGCGCTAATTTACAATAAATAAGCTTTAAAATGACGTATAAAATGTAAATGTAATTCATACTTCAAGTACCTTAACGTAGGCCTTGCCGTGTACGAATTAAACAAACTAAAGTAATCTACAATTTTAGGTTGCCATGGTCAAGTCAGGATCTGTTACCTAAAATTGTAGTGATTTAATATTTGAGATGTTCGTTTCTTTTATTTTTCTTTTTTTTATAAATTGACTTATCTGCTGTATTTAATTTCTAATGAATATGTGTAAATAAATTATATTTCATTTCTCTATTTCTTTTCCCTGCCGAATTTTGGCCACTTGTTGTCAAACGTTGCCCCAAGTACTCTGCGTCACAGGAAAATAATGGGAACTGCACAGTTGTCTAGTTTTTT